GACCCTTACGCACAGAGATTGTTCCAGATTCTCTGAATCTTCGGATGATGTTATGCACAGTTGATGATGATAACTGCAAAGTCTTTGCAATTTTTCGCTGGGTAACACCTTTCTGATATTGCTCCACTATCTTTCTGCGCAACATTGTGGGAATTGGTGATCCTCTACCCATCTTGGCTTCTGAGAGACACTGCCACTCTGAGAAGGATTAAAGGGTTAGACTTTTGATCTGTCATCTACGTTCTATTCTGAATAAAATATTGACATTTGCCATCTCCACATCATTGCATTCAGTTTTTATTCACAATTTGTTTAGTGTCCCAACTCCCAACAATGATTGCACTGCATACATTTTTAGTGATTTAAATGAGAGGTGGGTTATTAAGTTTGACTTTATTTGGGATTTTCTCTGCTCACAGGTTCAAAGGTGATTCTGACGGTTCACAAGGCTCTAGACTAACTTTTCGCCACGGTTGCACTGGTACGCCTAACTTTTTTTCTTAGGCGCACCAGCACAAAAGTTAGGCGCACTCAAATTTTTCAACCGCATCGCATAACACCACAGTTTTACATGTACACTTTTTTGGGGGGGAAATTGCAGTCCATATAGACAGTATTCATTTGTAAATGATTAACTAACAATTTTGTGCTTAAAGTGCTTTGGCACTCTTTGGCAATATTGTAGAAAATGTTCAACTTAATCATCATCTCGACCTCCTCTGATGACCTGTTTGCTGCTGCCTGCCGCTAAAAGGCAGTGGTAGAGGGGACACTTGGACAGTGCATTTATGACGACATATAATGTGTTTTCTGGATACACTGTGCTTTTCCAGCGTTCAAAGACTGATGGTACTGTGTCAGAGCACTGGCTATGAATTTCAGATGGATCAGGCCATAACTTAACAAAAAAGTTATCAATAGTTCTTTTCATCTTTTCTCATTACCCACAGCTACATCCACTTCTGTCAGGCCTAGGCTGCTCACTAGGGCTGGGTATCATCACTGATTCCTATAATCCATTCGATTCTGATTCACAAATCCTGATTCGATTCAATTTAGCCTCAGACAGTCAGAAATATTATAATTCTGATCATTTATCAGTACTGACACATGTGAGAGTTCATCAGAATTGTGAACATCACAGCAGATGCCTTTGTGTGAAAGTAACTGAGA